TACTGTTCCATTAAACAATATAAATAGTATGTATTATATTTATATTGAAATATTATAGTGCAAACTTTATTCAGGCGTTAATAATCTTTATTACCACACGTAAAACATTTCCGTGTTTTAAAGCGTTTCATGTGAAAAGCATTTCCTCTTTTCGTTTGTTAATTCTTAGCCTAAGGGGAAATGAACTAGCCATGCAACTTTGATATAAAGTACATCAAGAGCTTAATGGTTTGCACATTAACCCGTTACCGACAATAAACATTTTGATTTCTCTCCGATAGGTGTTTTGAACTAAGATAAGTAATACGTACTTTGGCCATATTTTGGATTTTTATGATTTTTTATACGTTTTGAATTGCATCTTTATATCGAAAAATAATATGTAAATAGATATAGGAAGATGTGGTATGAGTGCTAATGAGACAACTCTCCATCCAAGTAACAATTTATAAAAGTAAACCACTATAGGTCAAGGTACGGCCTTCAACACGGAGCATTGGCTCACACCGAACAGCAAGCTATAAAGGGCCCAAAAAAATTAATAGTGTAAAACCATTCAAACGGGAAAACCAACGGTCTAATCTATATAAAAACGAGAAACGAGAAACACGTATGAAAGCATAGATAATTCCGAAACACAATATTTTTTAGATAGATCTATAAATGTATAGGATGCATATGATTTTCTTTATTCATAACGGTGGATTTTAAATTGTTTTGCTGAAATTGTCATAATGTGCCAATAACTGTCTGTAAATTGTGTCAGCCTGCCCTGCAGTCAAAATTTATTGTCTTGAATTTATCATATATCATTTTAGACAGCAATCAGAAGTATATCGATGTCTTCTTTATAATTGGTTTTAGTCACGAGATTTTCAGGCTTATTGAGGTAACTAGTCGAAAATGGGGTTATAATTATTGCATATTTATCAAGTTTATACTAAAAGATTCACCTGGTCAAATTATTATTACAGATTCGTTACAATTGTGGTCTTGGCTTTTGTTTGCATCCGGCATAATGAGTATTTAATGACGGCGTTTTGATTAAGGAGCGCATTAATTTATAAAATGAAAATCTGAATTTTTAAAGGATGAAGTAATTCTTAATATATATTTTTAAAGTTTTTACTTAGATTCCGTAATGATGCATGTCCCTTACACGGATATATAGCAGGCAAAGAATAACGATATTTGTAAGTAGTTTAAAATATGCATTATGCATGCATATTTGTTACGAACCCGGAAGAAGAAAACAAATAGTTTCATAGTGTAAAATCTAAGCAATAGGACTGTTAGTAAATATAAATGGTGAATTGATTTAAACGACTATAAACATTCTATAGATGAGAGAATGAATTTGAATACCTTAGTTTGAGTTTAAATTTGAAATTTTGAACACTTTCTGTAAATCAATATATCACTTCATTCGATACAAATAATTTCCAAAAATCTGCTATGCAAACATATCTGACGACGTTTTTGGAACTTTATGATAAATGCCTCAAGTATTGTTTCTGTCCTGGTACTTCTATATGGATATTATTATGATATTGACTTCTAATAATATTGCTGCTTCTACCGTTTTTATTAACTGACTGGCCCTTAAAAGGACAATGATATTTTTGTTTTTGTTTTAGACTGGTCCTCTGAAAGACACTTCACTTTTTATCAAAAGAATATTATTTTACGGTGTCGTGTCACGTTTATGTTACAGTAGTAACTTTTTTTAGGATCTTTTGAGGTTTCGGCATTTTGGGTTAAAAGGCATTTGAATTATTGAGTATAAGAAAGTTATTTAAAAATTGTTAGCTTAAGAGAACAGATAAGTTACAGAAGGGAATACTCCAACCAAACTCATCCTTTCGAAAAAGTGTATACAGAATAATAAAAAAGAAACAACAATGATAGACCTTACCTACACTATTACTGAACTAAATACATGTATATGTGTTGTTATCATTAGACGTGTAGCAATTAAAATATTTTCGGCGACCAGTATTGGTTTTTCAGTTATATGTTGCTGTATCTTATTCTCTACTCTAACCTTCAGTTCACTGCAAGAGACGCTTACCCTGTAGACAAATCCGATTTCGTTCCTTTTGGAAATTCCCTCATTGTTTGTTTGTTTCCTTGATTTGTATCTTCTTAGCCGATTTATGAGATTTGAACATCAGTAAACTGCTACTGCCTAAATTTAGAACAAATGTTCAAATATCGTTTTCTTATATACGTATATATTTCACATTCCTACATCAATCAACACGAAATGACTCACCTGACAATTTGAATCACAAAATTTTCACTTTTAGCTTAAAAGGGATAATCCGTCATTTTCATAGTCCATGATTTGAAAGTTAAATCCATAATTCGTCTTACATCATCAACTGCGTTTTCAAGATGTGCAATTTGATTAAGAAATGATGTAAAAACTGTTCATTTCTGTATGCGTGTCGCCTATGTTATCAGTTCATCAATGAAAAGACATTTTTGGTAACAGCTTGTCGTATTCAAACCATATAATAGACAATATTGATTGATTGACTATAAACTGTACTAATACATAGTTATCTTTTCTTGGATGATTATATTACAAATATGAAAATGCAATTTATTTTAAAGGTAAATTAAATCTGTCAACGTTTTCGATAATACTAAGTAGATATTATATTATATAAGTCAAAAGAGAAATTACTTTTTAATATTTATCCTTCATTTATCAGAAAAAGAGAAATTTTCTTATCATTATTCGAAATTAATAAAACTTTATAACAATTGTTTTAATGATCGCGAAAATCGCTTGTTATCGACATATAATATATTTGTCTATGACCACTTGCGATAGAAAAAAAAAATAACAGAAATTCACTCTGTAAAATAAACAAAAAATGTGTAATATATAAACCGGTCTGATATTAGTTATAACGTAGAACGACATGACTGATTTGCCAGCAGTTTGAGTACTTTTGAGTTTACTTTTAGAAAAAGGGAGCATTCTATATTACAGTTTTATTTACAACTGTTGTATTTATTCACGCTTTTTTATTGTCAATTATACCGGTAACATTGATTTAAGCGGTTTTTTTTTCTGGACTGATCTTTCTGGTTTCGAGGTATATTATCTAATGATTCTTCTCTTTTTGTTATTTACTGATTTAGATTAAGAGTGGGGTTGAGTTCTCATGAACAAGTTCACACCGCCAATGTTTATGTACCCGTTACAAATAAGGGTCATTGTCGATGATCGTCTGTAGATTTGTCTTATTGATTTTTGCCCTATGGGGAACTTAGTTTTGGTGGTAGATCTTCTATAAAAAATGTTCAGTTCCTAGATTACAACCGATTTACAACATACAATCACTTGAGGGCAGTCTCTAGAATTCATTTTGTCATTTAGTGTTGTCGGATTGCTGCCTCATTGTCGTATACATTACATCTTGTATTCATAGAAAATAATATTACTTTAATCAAATCAAATATGAAAATATGAAATTAACACAAAGTAAATTGAAAGGAGGTCGGATAAGATACATTATAACGACATTAACGCAATAGTGAGCTTAAACTCGATTGATTCATACCAAGTATAAGTCCTTTGATTTAAAAATAAGGAGATGTGGTATGATTGCCAATGAGACAACTATCCACCAAAGTTCAAATGAAGTGAATGTAAAATATAGTTTTAGTTCACCACCCACCCAGTAGATTGTGCTTCCGAACCGGCATTGTAAATTGAATTTATTGTAAATTTTAAGTTAATAAATAATTTCATTGCACATAAGTGAGGTTTCAATATCCTCAGGCAAAGTTGACCAAAGACGAATCTGGTCATTTTTAGAATGGTAAATAAATTATGCATTTACGTTCGTCTCAAGCGAACAAGATGCATGCTATTCGAGAAAGACGAGTCTTGCACGGAAAAAATATCAAACAGGACCATACATATCTATTCTCTGAACTGGGTCTGTGCTACTGCTTATGATCTGCCAGTTTCCAAGGGTACCACTCACCAAAAGCCAGCACTTCCGTATTGAATCTAAAATTAAGGTTGTAACTCCGTAGTTTGACGATTTTGGATTTTCTGTTATCCCCTTTTTGGTTCTAATGCTTTTATTTATTCTATGTATTTCGCATTCTAAAACTCTTGGTCTCGCAGGCTCATGATGATGGTTTTTCGAGACATGTCGTGCACATGAAAATGAATTATTACTTATATCTCTGTTTATAGAATAATCTTAGTACCTTCTAATACTGTTCGTTTAGTCACTTAAAGAATCTTAGAGATTGCAAATATGTACAGTGTACAGACCACAAGTTTACCAGGTCTTTGTAGCCAAAGGACGGATTAAGATATCTAACTGTTCTGTTTTTTACAAATTTTTTATGTGTTATATAAGTAAATGTTCATAAACTTCGCAAAAAAGGTTCATACAAATAAATTTTTTTTTTGCAAAAATGCCGATATTTAACATTCTGAATTAAAGAACCTTTGTGAGCGCGCTCACATACCCCACGCCCCAACATTGTCACTGGACAAACAAAATCTCACCAGAAAATACAGTTAAAATTCATATTAACATATCCTAAGTTCAAAGACTCATAACTCTACAAAAGTCAAATGATACAAATTTTCTTGTGGATATGCACATTTACATATTATGTCCTCATTAACTACAAAGTTTCATGAAATTCTGTTGTGTGGTTTCAGAGGAGTTGCGATTACAAACTGTTGCGGTAGTATAATTTGGCCAAAATTCTAAGTTCAAAGGGGCATAACTCCTAGAAAAAAAATTGAATCGTAATTTTCGTAACGTTCTGACGGACTGACTGACGGACGGACGGACGGGTCAAAAACATTATACCCTTCGCTACTTTTAACGTGGGGGTATAATTACAAAATCAAATTTCATAAAAGTGATGCCTTTCCTTATAGGCTTCATGGAGGGTTGTAACACAGATGACGGAATGCCTAATATATAGATACATGTATGTAATACAATAACTAAAATTTTATATAATTTATTCTATTTTTTATCCGAAAGATTAAATCAAAACTTTGTAATTTCATCCTGTTTTGATGCTCCGAATCCAAAGTGAAATGTCCCATTATCGGTCGGAGTTCGTCGGATTTCATCAGCTTTCAAGAAGTCGATTGGTGAATGAATTTCTTCATCAGCCCTATCTGTTTCGTCAGAGTAGTGGTTCATAAGTTTAGAGAGATCAGGAAAGGAGCTACCCATACTTTCCCTGTCATCACGATCACTATCATACTCAAAATGTGCTGGAGTTATTGTTTCCTCCTTCAGTGGCTTGAATACGTCGTCTTCAGTGTCCAGAACAATGGAAGAGAACCGAACTTGTTTGTCATTATAGTCAATATTTGGTTCATTTTCATGATCTTCGTATTTGTGTTCTCCGTTTTCAGCATCTTGATCAAATAATGACTGATCTGATTCGAATTTCATTAGGTTAGTTGAATCAATATGAGTTATATTGCCTTGTTCATTGATTTCAAAGTTACTATATCCACTCATATCTATATCATCGTATGTCTCTACAGATGTTACAATTTGGGTACCATCTGCACTTTTCACAAAGGTTTGTTCGGAGTGTTCATCTAACGTACCGTCTACATTCACTGGTTTATCTTCTATATTTAGTCTTTCTGCCAAGTCTTGTAGACTTTCCAATGCTTCGTTTGTGGCTGCAACCGTTGATGGTGATATTGTCATTGTAGTTTTGTGCATACTTTCGTAAACAGGATTAGAAAAAGCTGTAGCATCAAGAGACGTCGCGTTACTGCTTTGGCTAATTTCCCCTTCCTGTGTATTAAGTGAGCCAGCATAGTCAGAAGTTTCGTCGTCAAGCCGAACCTTTATTTCCTGTGATTCATATAACGAACTTTTACGAATCAAATTACTATGAAGCCTGTCAAATTTCTGTTGTCTGGAATCAAGAAAAAAACACACGTTTATGTATAAAACAAGAAATCAAAAGTATACATATAGTGTACAAAAGTCACAAACTGGAGGAAGGGTTGCGATTTTAGCTTGCTTCTTCGTGTACCTCACTACCTGTTCTAAGCCCGGAAACTCGTATGTCGTTATTTTTGTTATATCTTTATGTTTTTGTTATTTAAGATTTTTATGCTGATGACATATTTCAACAGTATTTTTAAAAATTATTCATATCTTTTTTTGATGCGAAGTGATTTAGAGCCTGCCATATTTGACTAACACTTGTTTATTGTTTAAGACCGAAGTTGAACTACGGTATATATGTCTTTTTTGAGTCACTAAGTTGCTGCTTCATTGACGTACACCTAAGATATTTATTGACTAAATAAACTTCACAAGTCCAGTAAAGTTTCAGAAAAGTTGTGAATTAAAGAACATAACATTATTAAACAAGTTTATAAAATTAAGATATTGCGAGACGGCATTTCATTTTGGCTAACTAATAAAAAAGGTAATGGAGAAGGTATGATTTTTAATAAACCAACTCCCAAAATAACCTCGTTTTTAGATCTTGTCACGAGGCAAGACTTCCCTTAAAGTGATATTTTCCTACAAGATGTATTTTACTAACATACAAGATGAATTTTACACAATATATACGTGTTTCAAGATGTATTATACTAATAAAAAAATATTTTTTGGGATTAGGCCTTGGCTCATACCTATTTTGTACAGAAGGTACGTATGAAATGGCAATTTTAGATTTAAATTGTCATTCCGACATGTTCATGACATCATAGTGACCTTTCTTCATATAAGTGTCAATATTAAATCAATCTGTTCGTCTATCAATAAAATTAATATAATTTTCAAATGCTTGAATATTTACTATTTTGTGTTGGGGCAACTAATGGCTCTTTTCATACCACCTCATTTCAAAAACAATGTTAATTGTAAATGTTTTATAATTTTACAATCATCCTCTCCCACCAATAAATCAATTACTTGAAATGTTTGACTAATTTCTATATTGTTTTTATCTTTCAGTAAAAACATTGTCACAGAATAAAAAAAAAACGTATATATATAATACAAATGTCTTCAAAATATTCTATTTCTAAAAAAAACCCTCTAGCAATCATTTTAAGTCCAAGATGACCACCACAATTTATATACTCCCATACTACCTTAGATGATCACTCAAGTATTGTTGTCTGATCTAATACATCAAACCTACTTAAAAGTAGTATCTGTACATTTAAGTTACTTACTTGATACTGTAGAGTGCCCATTGCTTCCGAACAACGATGATGATAATAATACTGGAAATAAATATCACACCACTAATGGCAATTAAAGCAATTTCTACAGCACGAATACCCTCCCTATGAAGGCTAGGTAGGTATACTGTCCTCTGGTTCCCAAATAAAGCTTGGATTTCTGACATATGTTCCAATATCATACTGTAGTATAAATATAACATTTGTTATTTAGGACAAAAGGCATTAAAGCTTTTTTTAATCTGATATTATCAATTATATTTCATACAACACATATTCCAACAAATAACAACAAATAACAACCCGACCAAAGAGCAGAAAATAGTAAACTTGTACCCTTCAAGCATATTTTTTCAAAAGAAAACAACACATCCGATACTGCAATGTCAATAGTTTAATAATATCAAAAATTTGTTTCAAACTCTTGCTTTTATATTGCCTAAAAGTATATTAAGGTACAGGGAATAATTATAAAAACTGATTTTTTTTATTTGTTTACGCCTTATCAACTTATTTTGTGTTTTTTTAGAGAAACAATCTAATTTAAGTATGATTATCATCATTTAAATAAATTAGTATAAAGTATATTTATTATTCATGTTTGTTTTGTCTATTCATTGGATAATTGTAATTTTTTAATACTAACGGAGTACATTTGAGTTTTCAAAAAATAAAGGGAAAGTTCAATATCTGCAAATTTACGAACGCTAATTCCACCCATAACTTCTATTGGAATGGTGCATATTTGTTAAGAACATGACGTTTTTTATCGTATTTCTATATCCCGCCTTTTAGACTGCATGTTTTCCATTTGTGTAAAAATGGAAAAAAAGTTATTCAAAAATGCATTTAGTTATAACAGTTTTGCATACTTACACTCTCAATACGGAGGTAGAAATGGTTGTTTCATTGTTGTATTTCCCAGAAATATACATGTAAGACCTAGATGAAATACAATGTTTACACCATAAGTATAAAAGGAATAAAGACAATGTAGTTTATTTCATGACTCTGAAAACAGGGATATATATATAATGAATTCAAGATAAAAAAAAAAAGTTTTTAAAATGCATTTTCCTCTGAATTGGGTAAAAACAATGTCTATAGAACTTCATAATAAAAAAAAGTACAGTCATTCAAAAACCCTGTGAATACACGTGCATTTACATATTCAAACAGCAGACAAGTTAGTGGGAAAGGTTATTTAATGATTTTTTTCTAGGTAAATTTGATGTACTACACGTGTAAAAGTACATTTTTCATAAATAATACCCTTAAAGGTTTGACAGGGGTAACGAAATACTGTAATCACTTGGTCTTCATCCGAACGGCAGTAAACCCATGCCAAAATAGGGCGTTAGTCTTACTGTGCAGGAAAATTCGCTACCCCGTCTGGAACGGGGACGTTGAAATCGATTTTCTTATGTAGAGGGAGGTCGACGCTCTCTGGACGTTACGGAACCCTTGCAACAACTCTATGTGGGGCCCGTAGCAGAGGCGGACTTAGTGCAGGGTGCCCACCCCCTTATTGAGCTACATTTATGGTTAGTGCAGACTTTTTACCTGTTCAATTCCAAACGTTGTCTAGTTTGGGGCCCCTGGATCCGCATCTCCGTAGGTGGCAAGTTAGACAAAATTTCTGTCCCTATCCGACATTGCATTATTTTCCATTGGAAGTAATAATTTTCCGCCCTTTAAAACCGGCCAAACGCCTATCTTACAGAACTTACCTATTGTATTTGATGTTAAAAAAGAGGGACGAAAGATACCAGAAAGACTGTCCAACTCATAGATCGAAAACAAACTGACAACGCCATTGCAAAAAATAAAAAGACAAACAGACAAATAATAGTACAGATGACACAACATAGAAAACTAAAGACTAAGCAACACGAACCCCACCAAAAACTGGGGGTGATCTCAGGTGCTCCGGAAGGGTAAGCAGATCCTGCTCCACATGTGGCACCCGTCGTGTTGCTTATGTTATTATTATAAATCCGGTAAATAGTCTAATTCGGTAGGTCACATTCGTGAAAAGGGAAGGGTATTGTAGTTACGACATAAGGAACATATCCGATATCATCTGTGAAACGGTTATTCCATAACGGTCAACCAACTCGTGACGGCGTCCGTAAAATTTACGAAGGGATGATTTCAACTTCACCATTTGGAACTCTTGGTTTAATAGCTTCCTTGTGAGCAGCAATCCTCTATCAAGGAAATCATGATAGGAAATACAAGCCCGGGAATATCGTATCAATTGGGAGATATATACTCCGTATACAGGCGCTGCTGGAATGTTGCTACATAGAAATGGAAAGTTCACAATTGGGAAGCTGAAATCATCTCTTTTGTCGTAAAGTTTTTTTTTCAACCGACCCTCATTGTCAATTTCTAGATGTAAGTCAAGATATGAGGCAGATTTAACTGTATCTGTAGTATCCTTTATCTCTAGTTCGATGGGATAGATTCGTTCAACATAGTCACCAAATTTTGTATTATTTAGTGAGAGAACATCATCTATATAGCGGAACGTAAAGTTAAAGGATATTGCTAACTTCTTATCTTTCTTCCTAATTTGCGCTCCTCCTGAAAATGTATGAACTATTTGCTACTGGACGTAAGGAAACATACATTAATCAACCATAAAGAAGACAACATAAAAATAAGAAGATGTGGTATGAATGCCAATGAAACAACTCTCCACAAGAGACCAAATGACACAGAAATTAACAACTATAGGTCACCGTACGGCCTTCAACAATGAGTAAAACCCATACCGCAAAGTCAGCTATAAAAGGCCCCGAAATGACAAATTTTAAACAATTCAAACGAGAAAACTAACGGCCTGATTTATGTACAAATTACTGAACGAAAAACAAATATGATATACAGCAACAAACAACAACCAGTGAATTACAGGCCCCTAAAAGGCTGTTTAACTTACACGTGTGTTGATGCATTATTATTATGTTATTGTACCACATAACAATTTACAATGGTTTATCTATATACATGTATTCAACCATTTACCTTGTTTGTTGATTTTGATTCTTTAGTTTTACACCCTTTACTCCCTCTATATGAGCTTTGATCTTCAGTATAGCACCAATTTGCCTGTAAATTGGAAGAGAAAAAAAATCAAATTTAAAATACCACTGATCCCACTGAAAATTGTCTCTGAGTAAATCTAGAGGTTGATGGAAATTATCTATATCACACCAGTGCCCTTCAACTTCGTATTCAATTTGAATTTCTAACTGATCCGAGCGTCGCTGATGAGTCATATGTATACGGAAAACGCGTCTGTCGCACCAAACCATAAGGCTTGTATCTTTGATGAGTTTTAACAACCACTAGGTCGATGTCACTGCTTGACGTTTTGTCCACGAGGGCACAACCATCCGAGTAGTCAGCACCTTTGTATTGACATGAAATATCATTGATATATTTACATTTTCATTAAAGTCCTTTACTGATTATAAAATGTCGAATTATTTAAAACACTAAGGTTTTATTACACATAGGAATAGATTGCCATAGTCGTACTTGGCACAACGTTTTTGATATTTTCGTTTAAAATGCTCTTCAACGCGTGTCTGGCGTACCAAATTATAAGCCATATATCTTTGATAGAGATTTTACACAACAAAACTACTTTTGATGACAAATATTAGAAAAGAATAGAAAACGATGAAAAAACCTCTTTGCATTATTCTTAATATACTGCGCATCTCACTTAATATCTTTGATACATCTCATTTATTCATGTCTAGTTGCGATATCTATTTCTAAATGTGATGCGTTGAAAAAAATGTACAGTGTATTATTTTTGCAAACCTCTCAAGTTCATCTTTTTTTTCTTTTAATTTTTTCTCCTCTAATGGTGTACCAAACTTTATTTGTGATCCGACTATACTAACCCGTGTTATCTGAAAAAAAAAATAATCGTAGATAAGTAACGAGAAATACACTTCAGATCATGAAGATACATGTATCATATTTTGTTAGAACACTGTTCTGGCTTCTCATACATAATGTATGATGCATACAAATCAGTAAATTATCAGATACATTCTTTATGAAAATGCATTACTTTTAAGACACTTCGTTTATGGTAAATACATGTCTGGCTAGTCATTAAATAAAGTGATCAGAAGGTTTAAAATTATAAATACGGAATTTCCTAAAAAAAAAAGTTCTTGAGTAACCGGTACCGAAAGTCCATACAGTACTGAATTTATCGTATAAGGAAAATATTTGAAAAGAATGCTTTCAATACCTTTGCCAAACTGTACAATTTCATCCACTGGCATTAAAAAAAATCCGTTTCGACCAAAATGGAGGTTTGAATTCAAAATTCATAACGACTGATTTGTTTAAATAACAAATATCACATATACTGATCTAAGCAATTGAAAACTTCTTTTAGCGCTTTTTTCCCCTTAAAATATAAGGCATCTTAAAGATAAATAATTGTCAAACATTTATCTTTGAATGTTGTCTTTTGAAATCCTGTTGCGAGGTTAGGTTGCTGTTACATTGATTAATGTTGTTATTTTCATTCTTTCCGCTCATATTTTAAATCAAAAAGGAATATCAATCATAAAAAATTATTACTGTAAAATCAATGTATCAGCACCATGCAAAAAAACGGCATCACTTACCAATATTTGAGCGAAGGATCTTAACTGAGGAACACCGCCATCAGATGCTACCACGCTAATCTGATACAAACTTTTCATATCATTATGCGAATCCTTCATTTTGATATTACCAACTGAATCTACTGAAAATGTTGTCGAGTCACTGGAAACAGATCGTATATTTTTCTTTAAACTGATATATGTTCACATGGAAAATGAAAGGATATGGAGTAAATGTACATGGGACAAAATCGCACACAATACATAGAAAACATAGAAAATTATCAATGAACAGGGCTTTTATTCCTGTTCTTCATCTTGACAGTTGATGTAGGGTCTTCAACAATGAACGAATCATTCATACCCTATAACAAGGTCAAGACGGCCCCATGTTCACATGACATATTTATTCTTTTTTAGTTTATCTGGTACCAATTATAACACATTTTTTCCTTCGATCTATATGATAATAAGATGTGAAAAAAAATCAAAACTTTGATCAATCTTCATGCATGTTCTTCCTAATAAATGATTATGAATCGACTAAATTCGCCTGAAATAGCTGGTACTTAAAACTTACAACAATGATGTTGCAACAAATCGACAACAGAAACTGGTACCATGGTCTGCATTATCAACAAACAGCGTGGAACAGTGTGCATCATAAGTCTACACCTCAAAATGATTTTTTTCGTTTAAATTGTCATCTGGTCATGTCATGGCCTTTTAAAGCTTACTATACGATATGGATTTTGCTCAGTGTTGAAGATCGTAAGATGACCCATACATGCTTAAATCCGCTTCATTCAGATTGTGTTTTTGTGTCTCATTGGCAACATAGCACATCTCCTTATTTTATGTTATTCCTTTTGAAAAAAAAAGAAGTTAAAATGAACTTCGGATATTTTAACACAAACAACGCTAAATTTTTCAATTTGATTTCCTTTGTTGTGTACTTGTAACTAAAACAATTCAAAGGAAATATTACGAAAGTGAGACCATGCACTGTTTGCAATAGAACCAATACATGTACATACATGCTGCTCTGTAAGGAATATTGAATTGCAGAATTATTTCCACTGTCTTTATCTGTAGCCTATTTGAAAAAAAAAGAGAATTATTATTACTTTTTACATGTAATAGTAGCATGATCTGAACCGATCACGTTATATTACTTATAATGTACTTTATCAACAATTCTGTCGGCCTTTAAAACGTATAACCTGTGTATAAATCATCAATAGAAATTCAAGAAATCTGATTTGTTCATAAAACAAAGGACAATACCTAAAATCGTCAAAAGAATTATCTGCTGACTTAGCTAATTATAACTTTTTAATGAAATAAAGAATACGAGGAGGATAAATATCCAGCCACTTGTGGTCAATCAAATCATTTGACCTACCTTTATAACTCCAATAACAGTATCAACCGTCACATCTTCTGGTAAGGCAAATGTGTAAAGCTGTTGAGAAAAGTCTGGTGAATTGTCATTTGTATCCAGAACTTCAACAGTCAATCGAACTGTTGCAATCATCTAAAATGTATAATAACATATATCACGTCGAATTAATTTGCATTTTGAAGATTATGTGTAAGAGTTTAAGTAGAATGTATTTTGTCAACAATGGGATTTGGCCAATTTCATCTAAATTTATTTAACCTGAAAGGTCATAATCCTAAAGTTGTTAAACACCAACGGAATTTAAAACTTAAAGAGTGTGTATCATACTACACTACTCATATCCATACATTTGAAATATTAGTCATCCTTATACATGGTTCATGGAGACAAATTTAATACATTAGCAATAGCACAAAGTTCATCGGACCAACAACAATTAAAATGTTGTTAGAACCTCAACTGCACACACCAAGCTGTCGAAATGGGAATTCTAGAAAAATTGGAAGCTCTTTGGAAAAGGGTCATGGTGGGAAAACATGATGAAAGAATACGTTTTCAGCAAACTTTACACACAAAAAGAATTTAAAAAAAAAAACCATGTACGTATTTAATACAACTCACAGCTTTCTCTTTATTAAGTACATGTATTGTAAAGTCAAAATGTTGTTTTCCCTCGTCAAAGTCCAATAACGATCGTGTTCTGACAATTCCACTATTAAAAGATAAGATACAATACTAAAAACAAATGCTTAACTTGATAAATCTTTAAGTGTAAATTCTTATTTCCATGACTTAATATCACATTCAACATCAACGAATAATTTCGGAAAGTACTTGAATTATGGTATATGCATGCATTTCATTAAACTTTTTGTCATAAATTAATGGAAAATACGACAACATATAGAGGTAAACATATCTGTAAGATTGAGAAATGAGTACGATCCCATTTCCCCGATATTTTTTGTCTTAATTCAAACGATTTCTTCTGACAATTCATCGATTATATTTTTAAAAGTCCACCAAAGAAACGTCAGTGCAACAATATTTACGATTTAAAATACAATAGTTGTTTCCTTTCGTATTAATTAAATAGTTGAATATAATATACATGTACGAGAATAAGGTTTCAACTCCCACAGACAAAGATGGTTGTGGCTATTTTTAGGTCATTTTTGGTCATATAGCTCAACTGTTTCTGTTTTTATACCCTTGGCTTTCAAACATTCGGCTTTGGTCGTTCCTGATGAAAGTAAATCCAGAAAAGCGCTTCAGATGCATGGAATTTATAAAAATGTTGTTTTCATTTTTTTCATGCTATTTTCATTTTCATTTTGAATCTAGTCAATAGGTAGAAAACTATGAAAACATTGAAAATCAAAGACAATAAAGGTCCCTTGATGAAATTCTAACAAAGGGTCTACACGTTAATTTTACCTTGAAATATCTATTGTAAAAGGAACATTTTTATTGATGATTTCGTATCTATCACCAGGAATCTGAAATAACGAAAAATATATAATATAGTATAAATTTATTTATAATTTCAACAAATATAGTGCTACCGAAAATCAGTCGTATCAAATAAAGTTAAAAAATGTGTTTCTTGGGAAGGAGATCCATAGAAACAAATGTTATTATTTTCTAAAGTATAATAGAATTGAGAATGGCAATGGGGAATGTGTCAAAGAGCCAACAAAGTATGTTTTAAAGTTACAAATAACAAACAAACAAAAATATTTTATAAACCCTCGGATCAGAAAACGCAAATAACCAGGTTCTGATACTTTATAATTCTAAACTTTAACAGATAGTATGGCATAATGTTCATACCTCAATATTACTGACATACGATCCGACCATTACATTTTCCATAACAGTTGCCGTCAAATTATAACTATTCACTTGTACCATTCCAGCATGAATGAAAACTTGTGCAAATGTGCATCTTCTAAAAATATGATTAGAAATACTTTTGATATTTGTCTAAATATTTTGTTTTTTTTTCAACACAAGATTTTAATATATTAAAAGTTTGCATAATACATAGTTAATCTGTCCACATTGGTTTATGCTAAATAACATATTTATAAGTCTCATTCTATATAACAGTCGGTGTGTCGTCTACAATTTCAAGTACAATGTAAACTTACAAGTACCTTTATGCATTTTTTCACATAGTTACATGACATCACATTATTTGCAATATCTCTAATATTCCTTAATTCAGAAAATTGTTTAATTCCTACTAAGGATAATAATCGGCATATAACAACTGAGTGCAGTCCAATTCATTAGAACTACTTGCCTGCTACTGACGATCTTCGCTGAATCACATGCTTTTACTCTAAAAATAGTATCAGCTAGAAGTTGACCAATCATTGTTATTCTTCCAGTGTCAGTATCTAAGTTAATGTTATGTTGTACAGATTCCAAATGATACACTACTTTACCATTATCTTCTTTGTCTCCATCGGTAGCTACAACCTTACAAATGTAAAAGGCATGTATTCTTACAACTCGTTACTCTCTCTGACATAATCATATAATATTAGTTACATGGTGTGTTAGTGACCTAATACGATATATATGGGGTGAGTAAATTCCATATGGGGTGAGAGCGAAGCTCGAATCCCCATATGGAATTTACTGACCCCATATATACCGTATTAGGTCACTAGCACACCGTGTAACGAATTTATCTTACCGACTATCTTCCCATGTGGTATTAAGACTAGCGGCCTATCAAAGTGATTTAAAAGACTTCAATACTTAATTTTAACATGCTTAAGAACCTACTTCCATTTGTCTATACAAACAACAAATGCCAACAATAACAACGTGTTAGCTTTAAATTTGTTTTATGAATGTATTTCAATCGTTTATTACTAGTTTTTTCGTCTGTTTAAACCTTTCAGATGTCATTTTTGTTTTAAAAGGGAAGTAACCCCTTACTAACCCCATATGGTTGCTTACCGTATATGGTAACTAACCATGTATTTTTTAGGACACCCTATATGAAATATATATGCATGGTAACCACGTGTAGTCGATTAACCAATCATATCCCCATAAATCTATAGAAGGTAAGATAATCATACATATAGCAGAACATGGTAAGCACTCATACCACATCTTCTTATTTCTATAAGCTTAATTCTTTCAAAATTAACCCCACATTCTGCGAACAAACGTGTTGTTTCTCAATGCAAATCATCTTTATTTTTTCTTATCATTTTTAAAACTCACTATTTTTATAACTAAGAGTCTTACCTATTTGCCTTCAAAAATCATTAAAAGTAGGTATATTATCAGAATTGGACGCATAATTAAACCGTTGCATCCAAATACATTTATCTGTACTCTAGATAGAGAAATTGCAAAAATGATCACAACATTCCTTGTTTTGCTTTACCTTCGGCTTGTATAAGGAAAAAATTATAAAAGGGAAATCAACATAACAATAGTACTTTTAAGATTTTACAACCGAACAGCGTTGCAGTAAAACTGCATTAATATATTTTGTATTTCTTTACGGTAAACGAAGTAATACCTGTCCTATAATGCTCGTTCCTGTTGAGTTAAAGTAATAACTATTTTGCGTAAAGACTGGACCATTATCATTCTTGTCTAAGATATTAATAATAACTTTTGCTTGGTCATTAAAGTCTTTTATCTTCGAATCAGTAGCTTTAATCTGGAAATATAAAATACGTGATTTCAAAATTAAAATTTTGATGTGGGAGGATATTGGTGCAATTTATTTTTTCTGTTTAATAATGTTTTGACTATTGTTTGTGTGGTTTTTTTTTGGTTTTTTTTTGCATTGTGGTCACTGACTAAATCTTCGATGAAGTTTTCAAATTACTCACTACCCTATTGATATCTTGCAAATAAAAGAACAGAGTTCCTATGTCCCCCGCGTAAATTGCACATATTTTATCTATCCAAGGTACAAGGGCAATAACTAAAAAAAGCTCTGTTTTTGTTCTTTAAAACTTTTTATTAATATCTTAGAGAAATGAAGAATTCAGAGCAAATGCAATGTGATTTCCATTATAATTAATATTTCAGAGGGGCATAACTCGTTAAAAATATTTGATCAGAACTTATTTTCGAAAGTGTCAAAGACATTGCTGATATAAACTTATGATATAAGTTTCATAAAATTCTGGCAAGAATTGAACACATGAGAGCGCTAACAATGCAATGTTCAATATAATCAATATTTCCAAGGGCAATAACTCTTTTAAAAATAATTGATCTGCACTGATTTTTGAACTCGTCAAAGACATTGATGATATAAACCTATACTATAAATTTCATAAAAATCTGGCAAGAATTGTACACATTAGAGCGCTCATAAGGCAATTTTCCATATAATTAATATTTTCGCATAACTCTTTTAAAAATTATTGATCGGCACTAATTTTCGAACTCGTCAAAGACATTGCTGATATAAACCTATGATTTAAGATTAATAAAAATCTGGCAAGAATTGTACACATGAGAGCGCTACCGATGCAATTTTCCATATAATTAATGTTTCCAAGGGGCATAACATTTTTAAAAATCATTGATCGGCACTAATTTTCGAACTCGTCCAAGACATATGAGAGCGCTAACAATGCAATGTTCAATATAATCAATATTTCCAAGGGCAATAACTCTTTTAGAAATAATTGATCGGCACTGATTTTCGAACTTGTCCAAGACATTGCTAATATAAACCTATGATATAAGTTTAATAAAAATCTGGCAAGAATTGAAATAATGAGAGCGCTAACGATGCAATGTTCCATATAATTAATGTTTCCGAGGGGCATAACATTTTTAAAAATCATTGATCTGCACTAATTTTCGAACTCGTCCAAGACATTGCTGATATAAACCTATGATATAAGTTTCATAAAAATCTAGCAAGAATTGTACACGTAAGAGCGCTAACAAGACCGGACGGACGGACGGATGAACGGATGACGGGCTGACGAACGCCCGGTATTTCTATGTCCCCCGCAACCCGTTGCGCGGGGGACAAAAAGCGAAAACAACACTTCAAATTTCAATTGCTACTTTTTATACTTACGTTTAAAATAAATATTTCGTTTACTTCTCTGTCTAACTTTTCTGAGTTAGCTACCAGTATTTCCCCAGAATTTTCATTTATTTGAAACAATGATTGTATGGTTTCTATGGAATATCTCACCACGGAGTTATTTCCCTGAAAAGGTAAAACACGATCAATGATATGATAATAAAACACATTTATTTAGGAATATTTTTGAAGGATAAATAAAAACCATGTACTCATTTATATGAGTTACGTGATTACATTAACAGGGGAAACGTGTGGTTACGAATTTCTTGCAGAACCCTAGTGTATAGCATTATGGTCATATGGACATCTCTAATATGGAAGTAAGATAAACTCTGAAAGGTTTTGTTTACGGGATGTATAAATACTTAGCCACGCCCGATTGAAATGTGGAAGTCTCTTGGTTATTGATGTATACCCCATAGTTCTTTTATTCATATGGGTTGAACCTGTCAAGCGCTTCTACAAAGTTGTTACCTTATTGTCATACACCCGTGATATATTTGCAGGATTATAATTTGTTTATTATCGATTTAAACTTTATTTTGTGCACATACATAGAAGTATATCTTCGAATAAATTGTCTATTTCATTATACTTGTGTTGTTAGTTAGCCTCCTGATTTACCCAACACAATTAACAAAACAGAAGAAGTGGGTGTTCTTGGTAGAAATTAATAGTGGGGCAGATAAAAAAAAATCAATTTATTATCTGCCGTTGTGCTCAATACATACTATATCTTTATCTGAAGCATGAACACGTAGAACTAGGGTCCCTTTACTGCTGTGTTCATCCACATTTGCATAGTATTCTGACTTGTCAAATATTGGTTTATTGTCATTTTTATCTGATACGATTATATTAAGATTTGCTGTAGCACTTCTGCGATGATCATTTGTCTGATATACCTAAAATACAAATTCTACCAAATAAATCAATATATGCTCCTAGTTATGAAAAAAAATAAATAAATCATTTGACTATAAGTTAGTATTCAGATCACGGAACCGTTATTCATACCATTTGTTGGTTCGATTTTAGTCAGCTTAGAAAACTACTTTAACAGCTAAGGTGAATCATCATCAGCGCAGTAATAGTTTGGTTCAACTAGATATAACTCGTTAGGATATCACGGTATACTTTGTTTATACAAATATGTTTCAAATTTTACTGTTTTCTATAATTGAGATAACGTTTTTTTTTCGTTAGATGGGGTGTTTGATTATGTGTCTGACTTTCCCATGGAACGTATATGCGTTACTATTGGTATTTGTTAACATAATTGACTTTACCACTTTGTTTTTTGTATAATATAAGGTTCCATTATTTGCTGATTTTGTGTATTACATGTAGTAGCTGTTGTTTATTTCATTTATGGGTCTAGAATATTTTGTCTTTTTGAATCCTTGACAAATACACCCTCTCTGTCACGTTGACTTGACTTTAAATTTGGTCATAAGAAAGAAAAGTTGGTTGCTTCCCTGGCACTGATAGTTATGAGTGTTTTTTGTTTGTTTTTGTTTTCATGGTTCATTTACACATGTTTTACTTCTAAACTTTAAAATATAAATATGGTCATTGAATAATTGTCATAAAGTAAAAGTGCAAATGTCTTGATATACCTTTATCTTGTAGTTGTATATACTTTGAGGTTCTCTGTCAAATATCTTGAAAAGTTTCACTTCTCCTGTTTTTCTATTTAGATCAAAAACACGTTTGTCATTATTATCTGAAATTTAAATGCAGGCTTTTTTATCTTCAAAAGTTAATGTAACAATCTGTTGATCATTAAGGTAAAAGTCACATTTCTTTTGCTATTAATGATACTTATTTTGCATGTAAATGGGAAAGCCGACCCTTCAACATTGCTATAATGTAACAGGCATAAAACAATTGAAAAAAGAGTGTCATACTTTTAACATTTATTTTCAATCCTTTATATATAAACTATATTTTCTTTTTAACACTCTTGATAAATACACTTATTTTATGCATCTTCAGAACTTAAAAGGTCTAGTGTTTTGTCCTTTCTGCGTTCAAATTTTCATCGGTTTAAAGTTTAAGGTGTCTAAACATAAAAAAATACCCGTATCCAACAAAATATTACATTACCATAATGTTTACAAAATCATTATATATAACAAACTGTTTGCAATTTACTTTTGTCTTCAGATTAGTCATGTGTGTGAAAAACATAATGTTATTGGTGCCAATACTTTTTTGTATTAAAATGATCAGAACTGATATGACTTCCAAATCTTCGAAGTTAACTGATTTAAACACTTACCGTACACTGCAAATTCAATATCCTGTTTCCCAGTACCACTGTCCCGGTCATGGGCTGATATTAGAGGAGTTGTGTTCTGCCAGGACATGCTATAACTAACCTGAAATAACACAATACACAAGTGAATTAGAATTTCAGAGCATTTGACGCTGTTCTTTTGATGTCCCTCTTAGTCATATATCTCTAACGTTTCTATGTATTTATATATCCTTGGCTTTCAAATATTTAGGTTTGAGTGTTATTGATGAAGGTTAATCCAGAAAACCGCATCAGACTAACAAAATGTATACAGTGTTATTGATGAAGGTTAATCCAGAAAACCGCATCAGACTAACAAAATGTATACAGTGTTATTGATGAAGGTTAATCCAGAAAACCACATCAGACTAACACAATGTAAACAGTGTTATTGATGAAGATTAATCCAGAAAACCGCATCAGACTAACAAAATGTAAACAGTGTTATTGATGAAGGTTAATCCAGAAAACCGCATCAGACTAACAAAATGTATACAGTGTTATTGATGAAGGTTAATCCAGAAAACCGCATCAGACTAACACAATGTATACAGTGTTATTGGTGAAGGTTAATCCAGAAAACCGCATCAGACTAACACAATGTATACAGTGTTATTTGTGAAGGTTAATCCAGAAAACCACATCAGACTAACAAAATGTATACAGTGTTATTGGTGAAGGTTAATCCAGAAAACCACATCAGACTAACAAAATGTAAACAGTGTTATTGATGAAGGTTAATCCAGAAAACAACATCAGACTAACAAAATGTATACAGTGTTATTGATGAAGGTTAATCCAGAAAACCACATCAGACTAACACAATGTATACAGTGTTATTGGTGAAGGTTAATCCAGAAAACCACATCAGACTAACACAATGTATAAAGTGTTATTGATGAAGGTTAATCCAGAAAACCACATCAGACTAACAAAATGTATACAGTGTTATTGATGAAGGTTAATCCAGAAAACCACATCAGACTAACAAAATGTATAAAGTGTTATTGATGAAGGTTAATCCAGAAAACCGCATCAGACTAACAAAATGTAAACAGTGTTATTGATGAAGGTTAATCCAGAAAACCGCATCAGACTAACAAAATGTAAACAGTGTTATTGATGAAGGTTAATCCAGAAAACCGCATCAGACTAACAAAATGTAAACAGTGTTATTGATGAAGGTTAATCCAGAAAACCGTATTAGACTAACAAAATGTATACAGTGTTATTGATGAAGGTTAATCCAGAAAACCGCATCAGACTAACAAAATGTATACAGTGTTATTGATGAAGGTTAATCCAGAAAACCGCATCAGACTAACACAATGTATACAGTGTTATTGATGAAGGTTAATCCAGAAAACCAAAAGGTTAATCCAGAAAACCGCATCAGACTAACACAATGTTATTGATGAAGGTTAATCCAGAAAACCGCATCAGACTAACAAAATGTAAACAGTGTTATTGATGAAGATTAATCCAGAAAACCGCATCAGACTAACACAATGTAAACAGTGTTATTGGTGAAGGTAAATCCAGAAAACCGCATCAGACTAACACAATGTAATCAGTGTTATTGATGAAGGTTAATCCAGAAAACCGCATCAGACTAACAAAATGTATACAGTGTTATTGATGAAGGTTAATCCAGAAAACCGCATCAGACTAACAAAATGTATATAGTGTTATTGATGAAGGTTAATCCAGAAAACCGCATCAGACTAACACAATGTATACAGTGTTATTGATGAAGGTTAATCAAGAAAACCAAAAGGTTAATCCAGAAAACCGCATCAGACTAACACAATGTTATTGATGAAGGTTAATCCAGAAAACCGCATCAGACTAACAAAATGTAAACAGTGTTATTGATGAAGGTTAATCCAGAAAACCGCATCAGACTAACACAATGTAAACAGTGTTATTGGTGAAGGTTAATCCAGAAAACCGCATCAGACTAACACAATGTAAACCATGTTATTGATGAAGGTTAATCCAGAAAACCGCATCAGACTAACACAATATATACAGTGTTATTGAATAATTTTATTATGTAATTACAAAGTTAAGACTGCTTCTAAAGTTCAAATGTTCGATTGTTCACAAACTGTCTCTAAAGTTGAATTGTTCGAATGTTCATATCGTCACACGGACACGTGATCGTATAGTGGTATAACTGTTCGGTCCTGACTGAGTAATTCGGATGGTTAGTGAATTAATTCCAGCCTACCCACAAGGGGGGAGACCTTGGCGGAATCTCCTGTCGGAATCTATCTGTACGAATCTATCCTTCGAGTCCAAAGCTGGATCTTATATAGTTCAGTGGGGTCATCCATCGTTACACAATGGCCCGTAGCTGTTGGCAGGTTGCGTAGTAGTCTGGATGTGGAGTAATACTAGTCTGTGGTTAATTGTCAAACTATGCAATTAACCCCTGACGGATACATGTTATTTCACAGTAGACATGGTCATTTATTGGCTGCAGGGTATATGTCTATAATATTCGTACAGATTGTTATTAAGTGTCTAAAGGGTAAATGTATTTGTTTCAGTTATGTTATATTTGAATTCACCTTGATAATCATTGTTATCTCACACATTGTGTTACAAATGCCTTTCATCGCAATAAGAACGAAAGTTCGGTAAAATACGAGAATCTTCCTTCATTTATGCTGTTTTAAATTCAAAAGTTCCTTGTTAAGTTTTCGGTAACCATCACCACACATCTATAGTTCATAAAATTCGGCAAGTCCAACATCTGGATACATAGAGTTCATATGGTTCATAAAGTTCAATTTTTGGGTATATATTGTGCATACTTTTTCCCGTCACCATCATAGCATATTGTTCCTCTACTACTGGAAAGTGCGCAATTCTTTGTACAAGTGTTGGTCATCGTCTGCCAGTAAATCCGGTCATCAACGTTGTAAGGTTTACAATCTAGTCCCATTACGAAGTAGTTGACGCATCTAGCTCTGGGTACATCCTTCTCACGAGACTGTTAACATCGGTCTCCGGTTAAGTTTCGTCCTTGATCAATGGCGCAGAGGAAGACATCTCTCTGGAATCAGTAACATCTGTCCCAACCAATCACGTAGACACCATTTTGTACCCATTGTTCGTGGCATTAGAACCAAAACTCACACCTTTCTTTTTGGCCAACCAAGATATATTCTGAACAAATTAACAGTACAAAAATATGGCTATTCCAATGAAGATCGCACCTAAACCCCACTGATAAACTTATCTCAATTTGGAAAAACTTAAACTTGTTAACTTCCCCTTATTTCTTTTTTTATTTATCAATCAGATTATTGATAGTTTGTTCACTCGCCTTTAGTTCGCTGGGTTATTCAAGCCTAGCAACATTTTGTAAAACAATTCCTATGTAAAATCAATACGTTCTCTTAAATATCGAATTATCTGGTTAAAACAAAAAAACAAAAGAGGGGAAAAAACTGTAGTATACAACTTCTACAATTTTGAGAATCCTACATAATAAAAACAAAAATATGTTTATTTTCACAAGACATAAGAAACATATTTACAAATTTACAATCAAATAAGTTCATTTCGATCATTTTATATAACCCCTACACCTACATGATACCTATAAAAAAAATTACTAAAAATTATATGTGTAACTTTGTTACCAATTGTAATACTTTTACGTCTTTAACTTTAGTTTCTCATTAATTAATCTTAATGCTAAATATAGTCCACAAATTTATTCTCATCACTCTTAAAAATATTTTAGATTACATTGATAAAATTTAACTACGTCTTGCGCAATTTGTTACTGACTCTATATTTCCTATTGCGAAAAAAAAATGCCTTTCTCCTTAATCTATTACGTTTTTCCAAAACAAGTTTATAGTTTCCTCATCATAATCTTTCCTTTCTTTTTTATATATATCATTTTAATTTGCTTTAAAACATCAGCAACCTACTGCCTATCCTTTTATACAATTCATTATGACTGAATGTATATATGTTGAGATTTTATTCATTCTTTTTTTTTTTTAAACTTGACTTATTTCTTAAAAACAAAAACATTTTTATACATTTCATTATGACTGAATGTATATATGTTGAGATTTTATTCATTCATTTTTTTTTTAAAACTTGACTTATTTCTTAAAAACCAAAACAATTTAAAGTTTTTTCTATGCTTATTTATGAACAAAACCCATTGTTTAGACTCATTTTTTTTTGTTTTACTACTAAATTAATTATTTTCTTATTCTTATTTTAATTTCTGATAATTATCCTCATAATTGTTAAAAAAAAATCAATTTTATTTTAATGCTAGATTTCCTTTAATATCAATTATATATTTCACTTAGATTTTGTCATTAGTCATGAAGTTCATATGTCTCTCATTTTTTTTTTACAAATATCGATCTACCACAAAAATACTGTAAATCCCTTAGGGCAAAACATATCAACATTTATCTTTAATGTGCTATTTTCTGAAGATACTTCTCTTTATCTATTAACATTTATTTTATGTAAATAAGGCGTAATCTAACACCATAAAACAACTTGCACCATTTAATTAGTTAACATCACTTATGTTAATCGTCCGAAGAAGGGGTTGGAATCTAAAATTATAGACTATTTGTTTTCTCTAAACAAATGTGCGTAAACACTACCCAACTGCGTAAACCATAATCGTCAATGGCTATAACATCGCAAACATATAAACCCACAATGTACCCTTAACTTCATCTACCAAAGGTTCTAAATCAACCTTCATATATACCGGTGCTCTACTAATTTTACGTAAGATATATATTTTCTAGAATAATTGAATGTATCTTCAAGAAAACAACCCATAATATGACCAAAAACCATAAATACGAAAAAATGCTATAGTATCAGACATTTTAGTTTTTGTTTTTTTTTTTTTTTTTTTTACATATTTACTCTAAACGAAAAACTAGCTTCGAACTTTCAAAAAAACATTTTATTTTTTTTAAGAATCATATATATGATTTATCCTATCTATTGAATAACAGCATATGAAAAATAACACCAAAAAAAATAACCTTTCATTCTGAAAAAAAAAGTGTATTCTTAATTTTTAAATTGACCTACAATATCTAAAAATACTAATAAAAAAATTCGTGCGAACCACAGCTCGTGAACAAACTTCTGATTTTAAGCCTTTTAAATATACGGCCTCACTCCCTTTAAAATTAAAAACTGTACTTAACATGTGTGCCATCCCTTGAAAAGCCATTTCTACTTTTTGCACTGACATAGAAATATCTTGATTGTCCATAAAGAAAAAAATGAAAGTAACTTAGTTCTTACGTTTTATATTCCTTTGCGTTGTTTTAGCCAATCCAAGTCGATCCTGGTCACACGGCACCAATTTGACTTATGTAATGAAGTCAGTAAGTGGATAAATAATTTTATTATGTAATTACAAAGTTAAGACTGCTTCTAAAGTTCAAATGTTCGATTGTTCACAAACTGTCTCTAAAGTTGAATTGTTCGAATGTTCATATCGTCACACGGACACGTGATCGTATAGTGGTATAACTGTTCGGTCCTGACTGAGTAATTCGGATGGTTAGTGAATTAATTCCAGCCTACCCACAAGGGGGGAGACCTTGGCGGAATCTCCTGTCGGAATCTATCTGTACGAATCTATCCTTCGAGTCCAAAGCTGGATCTTATATAGTTCAGTGGGGTCATCCATCGTTACACAATGGCCCGTAGCTGTTGGCAGGTTGCGTAGTAGTCTGGATGTGGAGTAATACTAGTCTGTGGTTAATTGTCAAACTATGCAATTAACCCCTGACGGATACATGTTATTTCACAGTAGACATGGTCATTTATTGGCTGCAGGGTATATGTCTATAATATTCGTACAGATTGTTATTAAGTGTCTAAAGGGTAAATGTATTTGTTTCAGTTATGTTATATTTGAATTCACCTTGATAATCATTGTTATCTCACACATTGTGTTACACATCAGACTAACAAAATGTATACAGTGTTATTGGTGAAGGTTAATCCAGAAAACCACATCAGACTAACACAATGTATACAGTGTTATTGATGAAGGTTAATCCAGAAAACCGCATCAGACTAACAAAATGTATACAGTGTTATTGGTGAAGGTTAATCCAGAAAACCACATCAGACTAACACAATGTATACAGTGTTATTGATGAAGGTTAATCCAGAAAACCACATCAGACTAACACAATGTATACAGTGTTATTGGTGAAGGTTAATCCAGAAAACCACATCAGACTAACACAATGTATACAGTGTTATTGGTGAAGGTTAATCCAGAAAACCACATCAGACTAACACAATGTATAAAGTGTTATTGGTGAAGGTTAATCCAGAAAACCACATCAGACTAACACAATGTATACAGTGTTATTGATGAAGGTTAATCCAGAAAACCACATCAAACTAACACAATGTATACAGTGTTATTGATGAAGGTTAATCCAGAAAACCACAAGGTTAATCCACAAAACCGCATCAGACTAACACAATGTTATTGATGCAGGTTAATCCAGAAAACCGCATCAGACTAACAAAATGTATACAGTGTTATTGATGAAGGTAAATCCAGAAAACCACATCAGACTAACACAATGTATACAGTGTTATTGATGAAGGTTAATCCAGAAAACCACATCAGACTAACAAAATGTATAAAGTGTTATTGATGAAGGTTAATCCAGAAAACCGCATCAGACCAACAAAATGTATACAGTGTTATTGGTGAAGGTTAATCCAGAAAACCGCATCAGACTAACAAAGTGTATACAGTGTTATTGATGAAGGTTAATCCAGAAAACCGCATCAGACTAACAAAATGTATACAGTGTTATTGATGAAGGTTAATCCAGAAAACCGCATCAGACTAACAAAATGTATATAGTGTTATTGATGAAGGTTAATCCAGAAAACCGCATCAGACTAACAAAATGTATACATTGTTATTGATGAAGGTTAATCCAGAAAACCACATCAGACTAACAAAATGTATACAGTGTTATTGATGAAGGTTAATCCAGAAAACCGCATCAGACTAACAAAATGTATACAATGTTATTGATGAAGGTTAATCCAGAAAACCGCATCAGACTAACAAAATGTATACAGTGTTATTGATGAAGGTTAATCCAGAAAACCGCATCAGACTAACACAATGTATAGAGTGTTATTGGTGAAGGTTAATCCAGAAAACCGCATCAGACTAACACAATGTATACAGTGTTATTTGTGAAGGTTAATCCAGAAAACCACATCAGACTAACAAAATGTATACAGTGTTATTGGTGAAGGTTAATCCAGAAAACCACATCAGACTAACAAAATGTAAACAGTGTTATTGATGAAGGTTAATCCAGAAAACCACATCAGACTAACAAAATGTATACAGTGTTATTGATGAAGGTTAATCCAGAAAACCACATCAGACTAACACAATGTATACAGTGTTATTGGTGAAGGTTAATCCAGAAAACCACATCAGACTAACACAATGTATAAAGTGTTATTGATGAAGGTTAATCCAGAAAACCACATCAGACTAACAAAATGTATACAGTGTTATTGATGAAGGTTAATCCAGAAAACCACATCAGACTAACAAAATGTATAAAGTGTTATTGATGAAGGTTAATCCAGAAAACCGCATCAGACTAACAAAATGTATAAAGTGTTATTACATTGGTAGCAATGAATTACATTGATTTCCCAGTTAAATAAAAACCGATAATTTCACATGTGAAATAAACGTGGTTGTTTCACTCTCTGACGTCATACAACAATAGGCGTTGTCACGGGCAAGACGTCGATAACGTCGGATCAAAACAAATTGTGAATGCGTAGAAAAAAGATATAGTTCCTTACATTTTCTACATTAATTTCATTAAAAAAGCCATTTGCCAATGTAATAAAAAGAATAACTAATCAAAGAATTCAAATATCGAAAAATATTCAACTCGTGACCGAACAACACTGATAATTAACTCATGCGCTACGCGCATTCGTGAATTAATGTGTTGTTCGGTCACTCGTTGAATATTTTTTCTCTATTTGAATTCTTCAATTAGTTATTCTATAATTATTGCCATTTTCAATCTAAATAAATATCAATCTTATCAATACTGTATGTATTTTCTATTACCGTACTTCACATTTATCATATCATGTTTCTTTTTATATTTTTCTAATCATGCACACTGTAAAATACTTGTAAACATTACATTTTCGGATATTTGTAGATTGAAATCGTCATGGTCGAACATAGGATCCATATCGTCCACATCAATAACATTAACCCGTACTGTTGTTTTCGTGGTGCGGTTTCTATTCTGAAAAAGAGAGATACATTAAAATTATTCAAATTGTAGTTTTTTATTCGAGGTAAAATAATTATAATTATATGTTAATTAGCTATGAAATACGATATTCTTGTTTATCATCGGAAGAAAGAAACAGAAGATATCAAGGAGGCAGTGCTGTTGGAATATTGCTACACAAAAATGGAAAGTTCACAATGGCAAAAATTTAAATCATCTCTATTGTGTAAAGTTTAGTTATCACCCGATTGTCATTGTCAATTTCTATATGTAAGTTCAGATACGAAACAGGCATTTGTGGTATCCTGTATTTTATGTTCAATGGGATAAATGTAGTCAACATAGGTACCAAACTTTTTTAGAAGCCCCTGTCTCATAAGAATAAAGGAACAAGTCGGCAAGCAGAGTAGCACAGATGATTCTGATAGGAACCTGATTGCCTTTTAAGCTACAAATATGGTGTCAATAAATAAAAATCCAGCATCTTGATGATTTCATTTTCAGACTTTAGAGTTTTAAGGTTATACAACGGACATGAGTTATTCAAACTTTGTTATGCTAAACAAATAATGCTATACATGTAATACATTTTATTGAATATATATTATGGATGTTATATCTTACATCAAGTGTTATATTCAAGTCGAAACTTCTGTCACCATCTTCATAATCCAATTGTTTTGTTAGAAAGATCCTTCCTGGGTATGTTATTCCAAATATTTGCTTTCCAGAATTCTGAAAATGGTATATAACAAAAAAATTATCATTAAATCTAATTAACAGACTTAGTGACTACTAAAAAGTGTATTTCATTTATTAATAAAGAGCTGTGAGAACGGAATTGCAATGCAGCTATTTGCAACGAAACAAATTCAAATGTAAAAAAACCTTAAGATTTTGCCCCTTACGTTCACTCAGCTCCATAAGAGTAATCTACAAGACACACATTGTGTTGCTAAAAGCTAAATAGAAGTTAACTTCCTTTCTTGTTGCTCAAAATGTTAAAAAATCGCTTGCCTAAAGATAATCTAACCGCTTTCACATTAGCTAAATACTGGTTCGATTGCCATAATTGTTATCGAACAAATATTAATACTCATTCTCTGTAACCACTTAAACTTTTTCGGCACACATAGTCACCGATCTTTCTGAAAATTGGCTGATATGTATATCCTATTAGCCTAGTCAGAAAAGTAATGCCAACAGATATATATATTGGTTGGTTACCATGGTAACAGCGGAGAAAGTTGGGAATTTTGAGAAAAATACAATATTTGGTGTAGTGTTGTGAAATTATGCGGCTACATCTATTAAAAAGAAACACAAAAACAATTAATTTCTGCCTTTTTTTTATCAAAAATAAAAAAAAGTTATGGGGAATCTACTTAGAAACATCTGAAATTCATTTCTAAAAAATGGTCATTGTGCAATATTCCTCACAATACGAATTATCTCCCTTTGACAGGTTACACTAATGACTGGACCAAAACGAAAATGCTAATAACTTTTTTATTTCTTAAAAAATTTGTCAAATTTGAATTGCTATAAATTTAGTCCATTTAATACATAAATATAAGAAAAAATATAGAAAACTTTTAAATCTTCATAAAACGTGACCTGACCAACGCTGACAATGACAGGACCAAATGAAAATGCTCATTACTTTTTTTTATTTCTTAAAGGATTTATGTTAATTTTGAAATATAATAAAATTTGATCATTTAATATATAATTATATGAAAAAATATAGAAAAAAATTCCGAAAAATTCCGAAAACGTGACTCTTCTAACGTTGACAATGACCTGACCAACAACAGCAATGACCTAACGAATGAAAATTTCTGTGTTATTTTATATCATTAAAAAAAAGGGGGGAAATATATGTTTTTGGGTAAAAAAAAAACTCGACCTGACCAACGTTGACTGTGTCCTGATCGTTGTACTACCTATTACCTATTTATATCTTATAGGATTTGCTTAACATTTATATAAAAAAAAAACATTAAGATTGAATGGTAAAGTCTTTATCAAATAATAAAAAAACTGGGAAAAACGGTTTAGGGTACTGTAACGGGCACCAGGGTATTTAAACTTTTTATGGTATTGAGTAGTATATTGTATTTTACTGTGTTGTAAATTATGTTGTATATTACCGGTTATAATTTGACACGTTTGATCACAAATATATAAAGTAACACACAAAAGGTGTGAAGTAGGCCAAAAATACATGTAAGTTGATAAATCCAATATAATTGTTTTATAATATTTTCATAACAGTAAATAACTATTTCCACGTACAACTTAAGGCATGCCCGAGCCTTGTGTAGGATATCTAGGTAGTTTTAAATATTTTCATAAAAAAATAAACATGTCGCGGACTACTTGAGGTATGCCCAAGCCCCTGCATGCACGATATCTTGGTAGTTAAAAATATTTTAATAAAATATAAGTAAACATATTCAACGACTTAACTTGAGGTATGCCAAATGTTCTCGAAAGTCAATACATTTATTGTTTGCTAATATGTTTGAAAAGCATTTTATATTTTCTTATTTGATAAAATTAATGGTTCAATCTAAGTGTTTCTGTAAGTTTGATGCAAAACCTATTACATATAAATAGGTATAAAGTCATTTTTCCTGGTCATGATAGCGGTCAGAATATAGGACAGAAAGTCACAGACAAAAAGTCAAGGACAAAAAGTCACATGTATTATATGTTTTAAACATTCAGTCCTGTTTCAAAGTAAAATTTGATTTTTTTTTGTTAAAAGAAAGACAATATGCTAATTTTGAGAAACATCTTTCTGTAATGGGCTTTCAGCATGTTCAGTGAAAATCAAATTATATGTACATGTATATAATTCTTTTAAAGTTACCCTTTCACGGTAAAGAGTTAGCATAATTTATGGTCAATATTTTTTAATTTGCTGCTAAAAATCCATAAACTTAAGATAGTTGTTATTTTCTCAAATTTCAATAATCCAATGCCTAATACTAATGTTAAGACAGTGCTACCATAGGCGGATCCAGGGGCCCTGAGGGCCCGTTCCTCCTTATTTATTGGAAATATTTGGTTGATTACATATGGAATCACTGAAGCATAAATGTAGCGGGCCATCACTTTAGGCAGTCAGTGGGACCCGTTTTATGAAAATTGCCTATATGGTATATTTCCCCCCACTGCTCGTTTTAAGACCAGCAGCCACCATCTGACAGATTTTCCGCGGGTCCTCATAGGGAAACGAATCTTTTTGGAAAATCTCGAAAATTCCTCCCCGGCCAGAACGGCAAACAAGAAATGTATCGGATGGATAGCAGGGACCATCGGGTCAACGGCCGACAGTACCCGCCCTTGTTTGTTACGCCCTTTGTTTGCTAAAGAACCCTTGTGTTAATTCTTTTAGGGGCACCCAAGTTGACCTATTGAAATTTCTGTCCTTGTCCAATTGATCCCGATATCTAGTGATATTTCAAATTGTCCGCCTTCATCCCAGCCTACCCATATTGCCGGACCTTTTTGAAATTGTCTATTTTTTTCAACTTCACCTCAAAAATGATCTTCATGTATATACTCATCATCCAATAATACAATAATATTCAAAACGTATAGCTATACATGCTTTGCCATTTCAACATTGAGTTTAATAATGAATAAGAAAAATAAACAGCTCATAATATAGGTATTTTTTCCTTTATAGAAAGAAAGGTTAGATGGTCAATTATCATTTACTTAGAGGACCAACGTCTGACTCTTTTTGTTCTATTTTTTATTGTGTTGAAGTGTATCAAATTATTGCCTTTAATTAATTTTGGGTCAGTAGACTAGCACTGGACCAACAATGTTCCTATTAAATTTATTGATTTTGTTCTCTTCTGAAATATGCATGAGATATTTGACACTGGACACAAAGCAAACCATAACTAATCGATCATTTCATTTTTACAAAATCTTACCCTCACACCCCCACCCCCTCAACGATATTGATTATTTTCATTTGTGTTATTTTATATCATTAAAAAAAAGGGGGAAAATATATGTTTTTGGGTAAAAAAAAACTCGACCTGACCTACTTGTTTCCATGGCAACACATTCAATGGCAAATATTGTACAATTGAATATGTAATTTTTACATGATTTTATTTGTTTTTTTTCTAGATTGAGTAATTGTTTTTCTTGTATATTTTTCATGATCATGAAAACAGACTGAAATTTCTTTATAATCAGCACTTTTATCCAGAATAGAGAAATTGTGTTTGATTCCTTCAAGTGGTAACACCATTATCGAAATACTATACTAGCAAAATCATTTATATATACACATGTGTGTATACAGTGAAACTTAATAAGTGTTTTAGTTTTCCTACTTTTGTGCACATTTCAGGGTTTGAAATTAGCAGGGGCCCACTCGCCAATGGCCCCTAAAATTTGGTGTGGGCTACTTAAATTTCTGCTTTTCTTGTATAGGACTATATATGTGGGCTACAAAATTTAAGCTGTGGGCTACCATGCCAAAATTTTAACTTCAATCCCTGCATTTGAGAAACTAACTGAAACATTTTTCAAAATTGTTTTAAACTTGTGTATCAAAATGAAATTGTTTCTATAGCAACACAGTTAAAACTCTAATACCGTTATATATGAATATGTTTCAAATTTTGATGATTACACTAATTTCTACATATTGTATATTTATTTATTTTTTTCTGGCTGCAGAATTAGGTTTTAAAACATTTTTTTTCAAAATTAAAAAAAAAAAAAATTTCTGAAAAAATGAAAACTAAGCATTTTGTATCCATGGTAACAAAATATTGAGACATACTTCCCCATTACTTTTTTGCATCATTGATAAGATAAGACTATGATATTTATGAATTCATGGTTGATTTTAACTCAGGTGTCCGCAAACAATTATGGTGAGCATTCAAAAATGACCTCAAAAGGGTATTTTTTACCTAATGCAAACCACATAAAAAGGGGGGTATATGTGATTATGATTGAAATGGAATATGAAAATATCAGTTATTAAATTACATTAATAAAATGCATATATTTAATAAAATCATAAAACAATATTCAATCTCTCAATTATTTATTATGAAAAATTATGTTGAAAATAGCCTTTTTCAGCTTAAAATCATAGATATTCAGAAGAGGTAAATCTGGTCATCGGTTGCTATGGCAACCGATATGCTTAGCAACCAAAATTTTGCCTTTTTTTGTTTGTTTCATCAAGACTAGTAAGTGTGTGAAGTTTGAAGAAAATCCATGGCCATGCGTGCCACACTCCCTATATAAGAGTTTAAATTGTTACAGAGAACCAGTATTAACATCTAGAAAATGTAAATTGTTCGATCAATTTGTTTTAAATTTCAATTCTCTTTTCCTCTTGCAGTGCAATTTTTTGATAAGACAAAAATCAACAGGTATATATAAAACAAAAGAAAATAATAATAAAAAAAAAATCAAATGATCGAGTTAACTGCTAAAATATTTCTTATACATTTATATTTGGACACATGCTTTAGAAGCATGCACAAATGTATAATAGTTATGTAGTTTTATAAACAGAAGTATAATCCAACCTTCAAACTGAAAACTTTGTCATCAGGATAATAGCAGTCATGACGTTTTATGTCTCCATCATTGAAACTAAATATGACTGAACCATTCAACTTATTCTGAAATATAAAACCATTGAAAATAATGTATCTCAAAATGAATTATCGATTCTTTCAGAAAAAATTAAAGTGTAGTTTTATAATGACTGTGAAAAATGTATCTGTGAACATGCTAGAGAGCACTTCCTTCATTTTTCGCACCCTTTGTAGATCGAAAACGATAGCTCTGTCCTTGGTGTTAAAAAGGAATCCGTGAATTCGCCGATCAAATCCAGATTATACTATGGGATTGGCTATCGATGACCTTAGTGAGTACCCTGCCATAACACATGAGTTTATACCCAGTAAGCAGAGTTCGTACTACTTATTTTTTATTTTTCTGTTTCTATGTTATGAATTTTATTGTTCTTTGTCTGTGCGTATTTTTCCTTTTGGTCGTGGTCTTGTCTTTCTTCGCGATATGCATCCTGATTGTCCTCTTGAAAGTTTCTCATTTTGTTCATACAATTGATTCTAGCTTTGGAATATTTACTGAGAATGATATGTAGAAGATACTGAACCAACAATGTTAAATTCAGGATTATAGCACTTCGGTTTACATAAGCATTTATACGTTAAGGTTCGGAATCGACTAATTTACAATATATTCTTGTTTACTCTCCTTTATTATAGAATTGTGATAAAAAAACTTTTAAATAAAATTCAAATTCTTATATTCTGAAGTGAAAATTAATACCTCTGTAATATCAACTGTATAAATCTTCTTTGAAAAAGTTGGTCCTTTTTGATTTATGTGCATCCTTCTTCGAAAGAAGGACTCTTTAAGCTACAAAAGTGACAAATCATGCCTCATATATAGGTATATAAAGATTTGTACATATTACATGCATGTGTAATACGCAATGGAATCGTAAATAGTTTCCATTTAATTATGCGGAATTTCTTTGATAGTAACTGAAAAAAACTTTTGATAATACATTTGGCATTAGCTTGCATCCGTGTTAATTTAATTTGGTCTTACAGAATAATTTTTGAGTACTTTTAGTTCCATTTTTGCTAATTTCTTTGTGGAGCGTGTTATATAATAGTATCATTGCTATAGAAGTCAATAAAAGTTTGTTCTGGTAAATGGATAAATTTGCCGCGGAGTTTATTTTTTATTTAGCGATTTAGTCTAACTCATGAAAATATCCCATCACACATAAATTTGTTTTTGAAGGAAAATCAGAATTATACAGACAAGAAAAACGACAAACATACTTTTAGTCTTAGATACATGAATTTTTAATTACTGAAAATTCAGTAATTAATGCGTGCTTTCATAATTGCGATTTTTGAAGAATTGACAAAAATGCGAGATTAATTATTGCGATTTCAGGAAAATCTATATAAAGATTTATGTATCAGATTTATGAATGCAAGTTATTATTGTGATATTCAACCAATCGCATTATTCGCATTAATAAAAACCTCGCAATAATTTCTGAATTTACAGTAGTTCTTTTGGCTTTGAACTAGCTGTCAGTAACTGCGAGTTCTCTCAGATCTGTACTTTGTGTCTTTTTTGTTGTGAGTGATGTATAAATACACTGTCACGTCCGGTCTGTGTTTTTGCTAGATGTTTTTTCTACTTTGTATCGATCTGATGAGTAAAGCCCTTTTCAACTGATTTTTATAGATTGTTCTTATGTTGTACTGTTACACCACTGTCCAAGGTTAGGGGAGGTTTGGCGCCTTAAAAAATGTTTAACCCCGCCACATTCTTTATATGACTGTCCCAATCCAGGATCAGTGGTTGTTGTTGTTTCATGTCTGTCATCTTTTTTTTATAAATTGTTTTGTTATATAATAAATTAGGCCGTTAGTTTTCTCAATTGAATTGTTTCGTATCTTTTATATCGAGGCCTTTTAGAACCGACTATACGGTATGGGTTTTTTCATTGTTGAAGGCCGTACCTACGGTTGCCTATAACTGCTTACATCCATTTCATTTGAACTTTGGTGGATAGTTGTCTCATTGGAAATCATACCACACCTCCTTTTTTATATTTACCATTAGGTTTGTTTATAGAAATCACGAATTTAAAATCGGCGAAAATAAGTATCTTTACAGTATATGCATTAGGTGTAATGATGGCTCTACATTAGTTATCACTATTTTTTTGCAGTAGGTTACCTCATACCTATCAATCAATTCATTTCACAGATTGGTTAATAATGTCAAGGCCTTTTATGGCTTACTATACGATATGGATTTTTGTTCATCGTTGAAGGCCGTATGATGACCTATAAATAAATTACCACCAAACATTCAGAATCAGAAAAAGAGAATTATCACGCCTATAATCTACTCACTGATCCACACATTATTCTGCATTCTCCATGAGGCTCTTCCTAAAAAGATAAGTTCCACTTGCTTATCTTTATTTCAGATAACTTTGTTTAATTTATATATACATAACATTTAATGCGGTGTATGCAAGTTTACTGCTTAAAATTATTACGGAATTCAAATTCAAATAAAATACAATCCAGTAAAACAATATTCAATAAAAAATAAAATGATCTTGCATGATTTAACACACTTTATATTAACAATAAAAATATGCTGTAAACAATCATTCAATCACTTACACATTTCTCGTTTAATTGTGTACTGGTCAGTGCTAAACGGATCTCGTTTCCTTGTATGATGAGACCTCCACAGTGTGCCTCAAAAGTTAGAGATGAATTCAAAGTTTTAGGATACGTATAGACAAGTTCCCCTTGAAAAAAAAATATTTGTAATAAAAATATACCAATACACTTACATTTACTATACTTCACTAAATACAAAGATACAATATTATAAGCATCCCAATCCGAGTGTTCCGTGAAAAATTATCAAAAAAATATGAAAAGAAATGAATCTTTACAGATAAGTGTAAGTAACACTATTATGTCAATTATATCCTTAATTGTTGTGAAGCTTGAACACATTGACATAAGTATGTGTATCATCCATATCATTTCTACCCAGAGGGTTTACTAAATTTATCAAACGCTATGAGTTATAATTAGAAAAGTAAAAATAATTTTAAAGATTATAATGATGCAAAGAAAACTTCGTATATTTATCCCGATTGAGTATACATACCTTTTGTTTGGTTGTCATATACAGTAGCGATTGCAGTTTTTGCAAACGCGTTTACATCCGGACAAACACAATCTACAAGTATAAAACGAAACGTATAAAACAACCTTAATAAGAAAGCATTATGTAAAACCTGTGATGAAGGAAAATGGTTGATATTCTCTTCACTTTGAATAAAAAAGGGAAGTGGAGAAATAGTTCAACACACAGTACTTGATAATAGACGAGTATACCTACAGTAAAGCAACTCCTGAACAGTCACAGTCCGCTCGGAATTCGGACGTTACATTCGTCGATATTCCCTGCAGGACGATTGACACGCTTGTTGCACGTTAAGAAAACCCATTGCAGGCTAGGTGTCCATAGATGGCCTACTGCAAGGCACTCATTCTGACCTGACCAATGAAACCTCATACTACAGTGGCAGTACTACCTTCCTGTCCTTCATCCGGTATTTTTTGCTGAACCTGTTTTTGTTATATTTTATTGTCCTGAATATGGGTGAGATATAACCACTGAACGTTAAGCAAGTAACAGTTAAATCAATTGTAGTTGTCGCCAGGTCTAACAAACTGTGAATAAATTTAACAGCAATTTACAATTATTGCATCTTTACCCAACTCCATAAATTACAAAACACATTACCATAGTGATGGATGACAGGAACGGGCGAGGTTTTGATTCGAGACAGGCACTTGGACAAGTGTCCAGTTTAAATTATTTTCGTATCACTTAATCTTTCCCCTTTTGCAATTGCGATCAGTGGAATAAGATAATTCTGTTATAGGCTTTCGTCGATTGGTTGTCTAGTCGGCCACTTTTTAGAGCCTTCTAAATACGTAATTGGTATGAACCGCTGTTTTCTTAAAGATTAGTAAAAAAAAATTGGAAATTCTTCTGTTTTCAGAATATGTTTGCTTGTTTATTATTGATTAAAATGTTATATTATGTTGTTTCCATACATATACATATACTCACATGTAAAACTAAAGATGCAAGAAAACATCAAACATATTTCTCTGATCCAAGCCAACATTTCTATAACTTATTTTGTATTCATAGTATACAAAGGTTTTAGAGGCTGAAATTTAAGATACCAGAGAAATAATATTTTGAAGGTTTATAATACTTTCAATTGTATAGATCATCTTAAGGTTTCCTCAAAATTATGTGTAAAAATATGTTATATCTGTTTCATTTTTCTATATACAAAATATTATATCAAAACAGATCTGTTTGTCATTAGATAGACATTTCTTACAAGATATTGAAATAAACACAGTTTTTTAAATACTTTTGTCTAGTTAAAATAACTAGTAGGTAACGTATGGATCTTTCGAGACGAAGTTGTACTAAAAAGTACGTAGCAGGTAAGTTCGATTTTTCTTAAATAAATTATAATTAATTTATAATTTCTTACTATAGTTGAGAATGAGTCCGTGCTTACGTAAAATTTACAAGAAGGATTGAACAACCCATTAACATTCGACCTTTAAAATTAAAGATTTAGTTTAAATCTACATTAAATATTTCCGTTAACAAGTGGTTGCTGCTCAAATAAAAGAAAACAGAATCTCGACACACAGTAGTAATCTTTGATAAGGTTATCAAAAAGAGAAAATTAATGAAAATCCACCACTTCACATTTGTAATGACTAACTTTTGAAGTTGTCCTGCCTAGTAACTGGATTCCGGGATCACAATAACATTTTTGCTATCCTGATCAATTAAATTTTTTGAAAGGTAATTTCTGTAATTCGTTTAAAACGAGCGCAGCCTTTTGGTTTTCACTACCTCAATTACATTGGTGTTGTTGTAAAAAAAAAGATAGCTTAAAACTAGACAAATCTCGGTTAAATACTCTTTAAACGAAGCTAATATTAGGACAATGATCAGAGATTGACTTTCTGATAACGATAACAGAAGA